GCATGATTTCGGCAGCTCAAGGGATTATTTCTTTTATCACTAAGGAAGCTGTGTGACTTTATTGCCTTTCTGAGCTCTTTAACACAGCAATAAACGAGCCGTTAAAATATTTTAAAATCAATAAATGTAATAAAGAACCAAGCAAATTACAAAGCTGCTCCTGATGTTTAGTGATTTGGGAAATAATCATGTCCTCAGGTGAGCAGTGAGTTGGGGTCGGGAGGTAGCTGGGTGACCTTGCAGGGGCTGCTGCTCCAGGGTGGAGGCGTCCGGAGCCCATCCCGGGGCAAAGGGGGCTGTGGGGTGGTCAGTGGGCACGGGCTGGGCTGGGTGGGAGTCTGAGCAGGGTGGGATTCCTGTTTCCTGCCACCCCTTGCTCATCTCGGCTGCTGTCAGGCTTAAATCTGGGGTTTCTCTTTGCCTCAGGCATGTGCTTAATTTTCAGCTCATCCTCCTGAGCTGACTGCTGCAGGCACTGAGGTCTCTGAGGCTTTACTCCCTCCTAGGAAGGAGCCTAAGCAGAAGGTGACCTCCAGGACCAGGCTGGGCAGGGTGTGACATTCGGGTGCCGTGGGGCCCTGGCAGCCTGGGGGTTTCCTGGTGCTGCCATCCCACATCGCCTCCTCTGCTGGGCAAGCTGGAAGCAGCTGGGGTGGAAGCAGGGAGTGATTGCGGCCCGGAGCAGGAGTTGCAGCTCCTCGCACCGCTGTTTTCAAAGGTTCATGCATCTAAATGACTTCTCAGCAGCTGTCCTCCCTGGAGATCCTCTTTCTTGAAAGATGATACTGCTCCTGTAATTAAGGTAATTGTTTAAATTCATTCCCTTAAACCGGACTCCATCATAACTTAACCAACGGTGTCTGTGCAAGCGTGGCAGGGTTGAAGAGGGTCGGGGCGGGTGTCACGGGATTGATTCATCATCCAGAAAGATTTATAGGTTAAAATCTTGTTAAACTGAAATGCCTAATAAAGATGCAGGGGAAAACCACATATAGGGCATCACCTGGGCAGGCAGCTGCCCCAAAAGGCCTGCTGATATCTTCTGTGCTGCAGTGACTGACAGGGTGAATGTCACCCCTGCAGCCAGGTGGAAAGACATGCTCCAAGCCCCACCCCCGCCCCGTCATCTGCCCAAACAGCAGGTTGGGCTGCACATGTTTATTTTGTTTTGGGATATTTAATTTCCTTTCTCACTTACTCTGAATGCTTTCCGATTTCATGGAAGTATGAAGGTAATTGAATGTAATTATTTCAAGGATCAAATTATTTAAATTATGGGGTAATGCTTGAAATAAAATGACAATTTGTGTGAGTTCATTAATGTTGGTGGTGGATGGATAGTGGCAGAGTATTGTGTGCCATTGTGCCCAGCACAGGGCTACTGGGCTGCTAGTGCCAGGGAGCCACAGGCTGGGAAAGGGCAATGGATCAGGGCCAGGATCCAGCATGGTCCTGAATGGGTGGCAACCCTCTGTGGCACTCATCCCTCCCTGGCAGAGCCCAGACCGTGGCCATGTTTGTCGTTTGTCTTCCGTCTGAAATGATTTGGGCAAGAGCTGGTAGCTCAGTCCCTCTTTGAGGCTGTTTCAAGGTATCTGTGGGGAGTGGCAGAGATTACCCTGGGGATAAGGGGCTTTTCTCAATGCCACATCGAGTGCCCCATATCCAAACCCTGGATGTTGCCCTGCCTCCTGCCTTGTTGTTAAAGTCCTGGTCCTTTGTCCCTCACTGTGCCAGTGCCTGCCCCAACAGCTTCACTTCCATGTCAGGGATCTGCTCCTCCTCAGAGAAAGCTGTGAAGACAAGCTGGAACGAAAGGTTGAAATATAATCAGTACAAAATAGGTGAAATACAGATATCAGGACACTGGTGAAAAGAGTATGAATAGGATTTGCATTAAAAATAATAATAATTTTGGAGATTGATGGTGACCTGTGGCTCAAATAGCTGGGGAAGCAGTAACAGGAGGCAGGAGGCTTCAGCTGTGCTCCTTGCTCTGCTACTGCCTGCTTCTGTGTGCAAAGAGCCTTAATATATCTCTGCAGTACCATCTTCATCTGAAAACCTTATGCCTACAGAAGGAAGTCTTTCAATGGTTTTGAGGCTGGGTGGTAACCAGCTGGGTGTAAACACAACCTTTTCTTTTCCCCACCACCACTTTATCACCTTTTTCACTTTCATTTGGAAATGAGGCAAGTGATTACGCTGCCCAATCACATTTCTGGTATTGGTAGGCAGATTTACTTGGGCAGCAGTTTAAAGCTCCCCTACCTCCTCCACCCACTCTTCCCCTCACCCCACAGACAGGCTGTCCCTCTGCAAGGGGAGGGTGGTGTGAACCAGCTTTCTGTGGAAAGGCCAGCTTTGGGTTGAAGCCACCAGAGGGTGGCTGTTGCTGCTCAGGTGACCGTGACACTTGTGTGAACATGCCACAGGAACACAGGCAGGCAGTTCCCCTGCACCACCCAGGGCACAGCTTTCCCCTCAGCTCCATCTCTGGCTCATCTCTCTTTGCCCCTCTTGGGGAGTCTGAGATCATGGAATCAGCCTTACATTTGACTCCACAGCAGATGTAAACACTTCAAGCCATCCCCCCAGCACTATCTCATCCACCCTTGCTTTTAGCTGTGATTTAAGCTGCTCTCCAGACCAGCTGTGTGTTTTAAACTAAAATTCAACTCTTTAAATTAAACTTCAAATTCAAGGCTGTCAAACAAGCCTTGCAAAGAGCATATTCCAAGGCACTCTGCAATCCTTCACTGTGCAACATTTGCTCCCAAAGCAGTGGGCAATTGGCCGGTTTTAAGTCTGGTTTGGTTTTTGGCTGCAAAATTATACACGGCATTAATAGCATCAGTGATGAAAGGAAATTCCCAATTAACTCCCCAACATTTTGCTCTTGCATTGCATTGTATTAATCTGGTATTTTTTGTGAGAGGCCACGGCTGATGCCTCCATGCTGTGAGGTTGTGCCAGCCTGCCCGTGCTAGATGACATTGGTAACATGGTGTGACACAAGCAACAGCACCGGGTGTGACAAGCCATAGCAGCAATGGATCTGCAGAGCCAGTGTGAAATGACAGGGATGGCTAAGACTCATGCTCAAAATTTTAAGTGGCTTACAAGAGAAGAGAGATTTTCTAAAGCATTTTGTCACTATTTTTCATGATTACTAGTACTTTCCTCCATTTATCCCATTAGGGAGCTTAAAACAGGAATTTCCATGGTGGTCCAGTTCCCTCCATTTTTACTCTGGTAAGGGAATTAATGAGTACTGGACCACTGATCCTGATTTTGTCCAAAAAAGAAAAGGAAAAAAAAAAAAAAGAAAAGAAAAGAGAAGAGAGAAAATGAGGGATTACAGGTCTTTGCCAGGATGAAGGCTGGGATGAAGAGCATTTGTGTGCTTTGTTATTATCGTGTTTGTGTGCACCACGGGTTTCATATACCAGTTACAGAAGACAGAAAGCAATTGTTCCAATTCTGTGCTGATAAAATATTTTTCACACCTACAGTATCTCTCAAGCTTGTGGCAATGCAAGCCAAAATACCCAAAAAAGCAACTTAGTGCCTCCTTGATTCTCCTGGATCTACCCAACCTCATTTGTTTTCTTTAAATGCAGAGAGTTTTTCTCTAACCATAACTCTAAGAAACAAATAATACCGTGGCCATCCTCCTGACCTTGTGCTTGCAACTTGGAATGAGCTTGGCCATCTCACCTTGCTCACAGTCACTAGTGGGCAGGTGTTGGCCCTTTTCCCCACTGACAGGGAAGGGGACCAGCAAAGCCGTGGCTCTTATTGGTACAAACAATCCAGGATCTCTGCTTCCTGCTTTTCCCCTTCTTCCTTGGTAAATGAAACAGGCTTTATGTTTATCTCATCTTTTGTGGTGGCAAGTCAGAAATAACTTCCCTAAACCCCAGACAGCCCAACTATCACAAAGCCAGTGTGCAGGGACCACAAAACCAGCAGAAACAATGGCCATGACTGCAAGCCTGTCTGGTGAGGCATTCATGGGACTGGAAGGAGAGAGGTGAGAAACACGTTTGGCTTGCCATGAATCCTGAGTAACAATATACGTGTGTGTGTGTGGAGTGGGCAGTGGGGAGCTGTGCAACACTCACAAACAACTGTGACACACCCCTTTGCTGGGATAATTTGATCTGGCACAGTCAATGGAGCATGGCAGCATTATTATGATTGTAATTTTTCATATGTACTACAGAATTTTGTTGTTGAGTGAGTTTTTCTTCTTTTTTTTTTCTTTTATTCCCTTTTTTTAGGTGGTAAGAGCTGCTAGTACTGTGCTAAACATGCGAAGAACTGGCATTTTCTGTCATTTTCAGTGACTGGAAATTCAATGAAAAGCCGGTCCTGCATTCTGCCCCAATTGGCATGGCATGGCAGCCATAACGAGTTATACAATTTCTGTACATTATGGATACCTTTGCCTGGCCATACCTGTAAGATTCTTCACAGAGCTGACTTTGTGAGTTTGTGTACAGTGCATGTGTGTGTGAGCAACACTGTACATACACCCTCAGTGCCGCTGGCAGAAAGATACCAGGCCCTATTCCCCCAGTTTCCATGAAAATTATCAAAACCGAAGTGGCTGGTCCTTCCCATCCGTGGCACATCACGTAAGCTCAGCATCGGGCCAGGCTGCTGCAGGAGTGGGACAAAGGGCTGATGCTACAGTCCGGTTTCCATGGCAACAGAGGAGGGGTAGTGAGACCAGAAATGTTGCAAACACCCCTTCTTCTCACTGCAGCCCAACGCACCGTATTGCAAAAGACAGTGCTGCTTTGAGGGGGGGGGAGAGGGGGGCAGGACGAGTCCAAATGTCTTTACCTTTCAGGTTGCAGAGTTTCTGAAATAAAAAGAAATGACAATTTTTCTTCTCAATCTAGTTGCGAAGGGAAAGGAAACCCGCCACGCAGGCCTCGTTTTCTGCGTGTTAAATGCGTGTGTTCTTTAAAAGGCAGTGGTTGGCTGCTTATCCGGACATGATGTGGTTGAAGCTGTCATCGTAATGGAAATTCATTGCTGTAGCTATGGTAAATTGAGTTTTCTGCCTGTGCTGAATGCATTAGTCTAATGAGATGTTTGCAGCTGGAGAGCTGAGCTGCTGGAGACTTACACTGTACTAAAAGACAGGGAGAAGATGGCTTTTGCTGGGTCCTTGTGACTGTGCTGAAAGTGCTCTGTCCTTTGGGTCCAATGCCCAGGCTCTTTAAAGACTCTGCTCAGTGTCTTAGCCTAAACAATAGGTAAGGGGAAAGCATGTTTCTTCTTCTTCCTCCTCTTCCTCATCCTCTTCTTCTTGTTCACCTGGTGTTTGTTGCTGAGCCTTGTCAGAGCAGTTCTTGTTCTGTTTGTATGTGTTAACTTGCAGCTCCTCAGCTGCAGACTCTCTTCCCCAAAGCACATCCTTCCAGAGCCCTGGGAGCAGTTCCTGTGGGGAGAGAGGCAGAGATCAGCCCGCGCTGCCAGCGTGTGCTGTGTCTGTGTCTGTCTGGGGGTGTGTGAGTTAGTGAAGACTTCTGACTACAGGGCACTCTGCATGCAGTGTGGCTTTGGGCTTTTCCAAACCTGAATCTAAGTGGTCTTTTTTTTTTTTTTTTGCTGCCAAGGTAAATGTCTCTTCCATTTTAAAAGCAACTTATATTGCAATATATGTAGCAGACAATAAATACGTCACGTGTTCTGGGGGTTTGGTATAGTTCATAGAGCAATGAGTTTAATTATAATCTCCTCATATCTTCAAACCAGCTGTTAAGTTCAATTTTTATGTCTATCTGAAACCTGGAGGGAGCAATACCGTTTGCAGGCTGGGTTTTTCCTTCGAGACCAACAGGCTTCTGGCTTCCGAGAGACACTGAGGAGCACACTTGAGCGGAGTTCTTGGTGTCTGTCTTTCCAGGTGTTTTGAAGCTGACTTGGAGGGAGCACGGAGCCCAGGGATGCGATGCCTGCGGGCACCTGGCTAGCCCTGCCGCTCCCTCCCTAGCCCCGCTGCCGCCCCAGCCCGCGCCCGCCGTTCGCTGACAGAGGTGAAGCCCGGCGTGGTTCAGTGAGTAATTCCACCTTTCCATGGCTGGAGAATGGCTGTGAGGGCTGGCTGCTTTGCCTGCGGCTCCTCTGACAGCAGCGCTCTGGCAGAAAGAAGTTGCTTTTGGGTTCGGTGCATGCGGGGTTTGCGGCAGGGATAAAGTTAACCCGGTGAGCTGCGGAAGGAAAGTTGCTCGGATGCTCTGCTTGGAGGGGGATTGCTGTTCAATCCTGGGTTTATTTCAAAGAGGCTTCTGAAGACGTTTTTCTCAAGGACACACCGAGGGCTTTTCAAATTGAATAAAAGCACAATGGGAGAAGTAAAGCAAAGAAAGGGATGTTGTTTTTTGTGGGAGCCGGGCTTGAATCTAAAGAGTGTCTTTGTGCTGCAGGGGTACTTAGAGCACCCTTACAGCACCGTGCTGCCGGTCCTGGTGCAGCCCAGCACACCAGGTTCAGTCAGCCTCTGGTGTAAATCAGCCCAACTTCCCCGGCTCCAGCCTCATCTGACACCAGCTGAGGACATGGCTTGGAGATTTGCAAGTTCAGGTTTTGTAATTTTGTTTCGATGGGGTGCCTCCCAGTTCTCTCTGGCTGCAGGGGACTTTGTATTTTACTTCAAATGTCACACTGATTTTCCCGGTCAGGCAGAGCCCCTCTGATAAAGGGGGAGATAAAATAAAAGTTAGTTAGCTGAGGCACCTGCTCTTTGGATTGGAAAGACTGCTAGGGGCATGAGTTTTTCAGTGACTGTGTGTGAAAGAGGGACTGGGGGAAAAACCTACCAACAGGAAAAGTACATTTGTTGAATTAAATCAGAACACTGCAGAACGTATACCTTGAGAAATGCTTTGTTGGTGAGTGCAATAACTCTGATGTTTCTATTATTCGCTCTACTGGAAATGTTTAAGTCAAATACTTCCTTATGTTTTGTGGGACAGGATGGGTAGAAAGTGGCAATTTTCTTTCTTGAGCATTCAGTGACTTGCCATGAGGTTTCTCACCTGCATGGTTGAGAGATGACTGCACAGGGGCCTGACAGTGGCTATGGGACCTAGAAAGAAGAAATTGCAATAGGATACTCTCTCACAGCCATTCCCTTAGTTCCATGCATGACACAAAGATTTGGGATTTTGTTAAACATATCTATTTTTTTTAAGAGAAACATGATATAGTACCTGATCATGGTACCAAAGGTTCAGTAGCCTGAGATGTGACCTTACACAGATGTCTCCCAAACATCTTTCCTTCCCTCAAATTTAGGTAATACTAAAGAAAAGGAAAAAAACCAAGAAAGGTCAGGTTGTGGGGTGAATGAGGGAGTGGGGTGTGGGATAGTTGTCCATTCACATGCTGGTAACAGGAGACAGGCAAGCCCTGCCAGCTGGGCTCCTGCCCGCTCCCCCAGCCAGCCCTGCTGTGGGGAGGCACTTGGGCAAGGGCCTCTCTGCTGGGACATGGGCTGACCTCAGTGGGGATGCATCCATCCTCCTCATCCCTGGCCATACTCGTGCCCACCAGCATCCTTGGGCTCCCCCAGCACCCAGCTCTGGTGGGTGCCAGCTCAAACCCAATAGTAAAATATGGGATAATTTAGCTCATTTAAGTTGAATCATAGAAGCTGGATTTCAGTGATCCTGTGGGTCCCTTCCAACTCAGGATATTCCATGATTCTGGGATTTGAATTCCCCAGCATCACCACTTCTCGGTGGGCTCCTTCTCTGTAGTGAACTGAATTCACATCACTAAGGTTAGCCCATATTCCTAATACTGCTTTGGAAACACCCAGGGTACTTCCAGCTGGAGGCAGAGGCATGCTCTCCTCCTGCAAATGGCAGGGAACCCGCAAACACCTGGCAAGTAAATAAAAGGGATAGAGCACATTTTGGGGTAAGGAAGAACTTCAGGAAATAGTTGATGAGAGCAAGACAGCAATGATTTCTGTTGAAAATTGAAAGAAATTAAATATTTATATTTGGTATCGCTGGAGTCAGCAAACCCTGGTTTCTTCAGGGGGTTTTAGTTCACTTTCATAAACTATACTCAATGGCCTTGTGGTATCTTTAAAAAAAAAAATTGTGAGAAAATATACCCTAAAATCCTACCCTACTTCTTTCTCTACAGCTTTAAAATGGTGCAAAGGAGGAGTCAGCTTTATTTATATAAAACACTCCCAGCTGAGTTCTCCAGCTGACCATTAAGAGCAGGTACAGTGTTTAACAGGTGATGGTTCTCCACAGTGAGAATGAACAATAATTGCTTTACTTATGCAAAGAAAAATATTCCAGGCTCACCTTGGAGGGAAGACAATCACAAGTATTAAATCTGTCATAACAAGTTGCCTCATGAGGAATTGGTTTCCTGTACAAAGGAAGCAAAATTTTCTCTTTATTTTGCTGTATATTAGAAAATAAACTTGTTCCAAAATTGTGTGTCAGGAGAGTACACACTGCTCTGCTGAACACAATCATGATATACTGGTGCACTAAAGATACTGGCTAATTTGCTATTGATGAATAAAATTGAAAAGAATTTATAATCTAAGTTAGCATCTTTGCACCAAGTCCTTTTGTTGATGAGAATGAAGAAATTAACAAAAGAAAAGGTGATGTGCAGTGAAGGTGGAGTCAAAATTTATTAAACTTCTAAACTTCTGATGTTATTTTTTTTTAATAAAGCCTTATTAAAGATTATGAACCTGTAAGTTTTTCATTAAGATTGACTCTTCCCTTTAGGAAATAGTATAAATTTGACTTGAATAAAGGATTGCCCAGAGAGAGTCTGGGTGTGTAATTATATTCCACTGAAGGATGAATAATTCCTCTTGAACTGAACAGTTTCCTGTACCCTGGCAGTTTATACTGCCCTCATCTTTAGGGCTGATTCTCATCGTACAGAAGGAACGGTGCTATAAATGCTAGTCTTCCCCTTTCCCCTGTAAGAGTTTGTTACTCTGCTCCCTTTGGGTGTGAGACGCAAAGGATGGGGTTTCCTTTCCAGCATCAGCTGGCAGTGCAGCCAGGAATATGCCTCTGCTTTCCTGCTCCTTTTCTCTGGCATGTGCACTGCTGCCGGTGTGCTCGGCATTCGAAATGTCAGAGCGACAAAAGCTTTTGCAGGGCCGAGCTGTTGCTCTCGTTGCTTTAAGTATTTTTATACATGGGGCTCCCAGGAGTATTTGCTGGCATTTTTGTTATTTATGACAGGTGTGACTGAGCTGGAGCGTTCAGAGCTGTGCCCCGAATTGCTCGGAGTGCTGTGGTTACCCTGCTCCTCACAGAGGGTCCCCTGCTCCCCACCTGCCCCACACACAGATGCTGGGTGCCCTCACAACTCTTCTGCAGCTGGAGCTGCACTTGGCACAGGAAGGGGAGGCTCCAGGTCTCACCCCTCTGTTAACCCTGCCCTGGCACGCAGGCACTGCCCAGCTTCCTGCCAGCATGCTGCTGCTCTGAGGTCGTGGCTCAGGAGATGGGCAGCTGGCTAAGGGCACCTGCAGCTCTACCCCAGACACGTGCTGGTAGAGACACACTTTCCTTGGCAGCTGGGACTGGTGCTGCACCTGAAGCAGTGTTTGGTCCTGTACACTGCTCCCACCTCAACCCAGGGTTGCTCAGTTGCTGGACTTCTGCTGACACCCGTGCAAGCCTTGCTTTCTCAAGGAGAACTACAGAAAGTTAATCCCACGGCATGTGCAGTGAGAGGTGATTCAATGTGGCATCCCCTGTGATCTCCAGTAGTTTGAAAAAGCAGCTGTGTTTCTCTGTGACGCTCCTTGGACACAAGCAGCGTGTGAGCCCATGCTGCCTTTTGCTGAGGGATGAGTCTCTGAGAGCTGCCCTGCCTCTCTGTTGTGTAAACACCTTTTCATGATGCTTGCCTCCATCTCTCCATCCTTCCACTTGTGTATCAAGGGTGTGAGGGAGGTACCACAAGATGCACCATGTTTTCCTTGGCGGGAGGTGCAGGGAAGGTATGAGATGCTTTTTTGTTTCAGCCCATCTTCCTGCAGGTGTCACATAGCTGAGGTTTCAATGAGTTAACTGTAGTAACATGTAAACCCCCATGTCCCCAAAATGCAGGATAAGTCTTTGCTGACCTGAAAGCCTAGAAGCAGCATTGGCCCCTAATGATTTCTTCCTGCCTGCCTTCTAGGAAAGACACCATAGGCAGGTAGGTTTTTAATCCAAGACCTTGTCTTGCACCACAGGCAAATTTATTGAGAATTATGGTAGTTGTTATCCTGAGAGGCTCCAGTGAGTGTTTAGGCACTCTATAAACTCAGAGGGAATGTGTCACTCAAACACTCAGTCTATCAAGGCAAGAGAAAGGAAAGGTGGAAATAAAAGATCACCACTGGTCTTGCTTGCTGGGTGTCCTATTGCCACTTCCTGTCCCCTTGCCAAGGTCATCTCTTGGGTACCTGCTTCTCCCTGGCCCCACAGAGCAGCCTGAATTTGGGGCAGAATGGGCCATGAGAGCAGCACTGCACCTTGCAAGCAGCTGTGGAGGCTTTTCTGGGGAGGCAGCAAGGGGACACAAGCTGCTTTCTGGTGGAATCTCTCTTTTACAGGATCAGTGTTTAAAACTATCTGATTTCCAAAGTACACATCAGTGATTTGCAGCCATTGAGACCTGTGGACACTCTGGGGAGAGAAACATGACTGGAGGCAGGAGTAAAGGTTTGGGAGAGGTCTTCAAACCCAGCCAGAGGTGGTACTCAGAAGAGATCTTGAAAGGAGAGACAGGCATTGAACAGGGCAAAAGAGAGCTCTGGGGTTTTAGCTAAGGACAGATCCAAAGGGCAACATTACAAGTAGGGGTTCCATATTAAAGAACCTGAGAGACTGGGTGGTTTTCTTTTGTCTCTGCTATAATTTTTGATTTTGGGCTGAGCTGCCACTGTGCCAGGCTCTGGCTCTGCAGGGAAATGCCTGCACACACTCATTGCTGTGCCCTAAAGCTTGGGCAGGTATACTAGTCCAGAGACCACACAGGGCCTCCAGGATCACTTCAGGGGCT